AAAAGATTTGAGAAATTTGAGAATTAGGGTTTTGATTGAAGGTTGGAGAGAAGAGAGAGCGGGGAGAGGGGGGTTTTGTAGGCGGTGGTGACAGTGCAGAAGCGTTACAGGAAGCTTCTTCGATTTCACCAACTTGCGTTTAGCTGTGCCATGGATACCTTTTTTTTAAATATATATATATATATATTTGTAAACATACAAAATAATGGTACAATTTTCATTTAAAAGAAATTATATATGATTTTTCTCAAAAAAAAAAAATTATATATGCTCATGGTTGAAAAAATATTAATTTTTTCCACTAACTGCACAAACTGTATCAAATTTTACCTAAAATCTTTTATTTTGTTTTATTGGAGGGTTGATTTTCCATKGGTGGAAATGAATCTAAGCATAGTTCAACACGTTATTTGTCTGCGACCAAAAGGTCATCAGTTCAAATCTCCCCTCCTCCTCCACCTAACAATAAAAAACAAAAACAAAAAATCTGACTACTAGAGAAAGAACAAGATACCTTAATAGCTATAATATGTTCATGTTGGTATTCAAAGGTTGATTTTGAACCTTTATGAAAAATAAATTTGTGCAAAATTTTATTTTATTCAAATAATTGAGTTTTGTTTTTAATTATTATATTGTCGGTTGAATTAGCATAAATTGAAAAGAAATTAAAAATTGCAACAATTATCTAAGTCTATGTCTAATTTAATGAGATTGAAAGTTTAAAGTAAAAATTGGTACAATTTGCTCCTTTAATATGCATGTTTTTTTGTTAAAAGATTTAATAGGTATGTTTTTATTTGATGAATGAGAACAACTACCAAACTAAATATTAATTTACTATAAAAGATACTATAAACATAAAAATCATCTATTATTATTATTTCAATAAATATTAATATGGTGTCAATATAATTGACACATGTTTAGAAAGTTCTGCTTTGAAAAAAAATTAATATTGGTATTTTTCAATTATTAGGTTCTACTTTTTCAATATTTTATTTAAATTATGTGAGACTTTGAAAGCTGCCATTGCAACTACTATTTATTTTTTGACATTTTGTTTGTTGGGTTTTTACTGCCGAATTTCAGTGTGGAGGAGGGGGAGCCGGCGTGGCTGGCAAGCATTTGTTTGAGCCAATTTGACTTTCAATTATAACTTTGTGAAATGTTTCTTTTTTTCTTTCTTCTTTGATAGGTTTCTAAACTAATCTAGAGTCAAAACTTTGAATCAAATTACAAGTACATTGCTTTATCCACTTGGTCATTTGATGAATTAATTATTGTATCTATGCTATGAGGCACCCAAATTCAAATCACAATCCTTTTTCAAATTGACAAGATTATTTATTGAAAAATCATCGTCTACCTACAAAAGAAAAATACGGTACATGAACAAATTACATCTTCTAACAAATTTCTAGAGATAGAGATACATATATATGAATAAATTACTTATTAGAACCAGAGGAATTTTGAGATTTTGTAGGTATGAGATGATAAAATAAACAAATGCATAATCAATCGGCAATTTGTACGTCTCTTTTAACTGGTGGCAGTCTCTATTTGTTAGGATGTATACTTGATAGAACTTTAATGGAAAATCATGCGAATGAGAATGAAACATGTCCCAAAATAATTGAAAGTCAAAAAATGTAAAAGAAAGTTTGAGGTTATTAGATGTTGAATTCGAATTTCAAATCTCTACTGCATCCGTTTCCTAAACCTTGGTCATTACACTTCTTTAAGCAAATCTTTTTATATTGCTCCAATCATGTTTAAGTTTTTATTAGTGGGTTAGGTATAAGATTTTCAAATAAATTTAAGTTTTTGTTAAATAATTGATGATTAAACAAAGTTTGGAGTAAAAACTAAAACAAAATATTTGAAAGATCATGAATTTAAACCTATATGATTTAAACTTAATTTTAAAACCCTATATATATATATATATTTGCCTAAAAGGATATATTTTTATATTATTAGTATATGCATCTATCTTCCTTATCAAATAATCATAAAGATGACAAGTAAAAAGAAAAAAATAAAAAAATAAAAAAAAGCTCGTCCTAAAATCAGAGTGTCAGTGAAGGGATTTGATTCACGATGATTTAAAATTTTCTTAATAAATAGATATCGTATCAAAGTTCAATAGACTTAAATGAGTACTCGAATCCAAAAATGAAATTTGGTCAAGATTGATGAGTCCAAAAAATTTACCATCTCGAGACGGCATGTTAAGGATTCACATTAAAAAAAATAAGGGATCTAACAAGAAATTATAATGTAAAGTAAGCAACTCTTCTCCTTGCCAATTAATTTTGATATGAAATTCTATGAACATTGATACAGTATCAGAGTCAAAAAGCTCAAACAGACATTCAACCATTTTCTTGTAAAGTTATTTTTAAATGCAATTCCATGAATATTATACAAGTCTCTTATTTAGGTTATGTTTCCAATTTTTTCTTTTTCCTTTTAGATAATATAAGAACATATCATTTTTATTTTTACTAGTGTGTATGTATGTATATTTCTTTTTTTCCAAAGGGAATTACTAGTACTTTTTGCAACAACAAGATTTTAGCTCCATTTTTCTTAAGATTAAATTATAAATTTGCTCCGCAAGTAGGACAAAATATCAGTTTGAATCCTTATAATTTTAAAAGTTTCAATTTAATTTTTATAGTTTAGTAGTATCTTTAATTTGGGTAATTTTATAGTTTAGTAGTATCTTCAATTTGGGTTTTGTGGTTTTAAAAGTTAGTTCCTATGATTTATACTTAATTTCAATTTGGTCTGTATTTTGGTTAAATCTCACCACTCGTCCTTAAATTATTTTTATTCCCATAAAAAATTATCATACTCGACTTTAAATTCTAATACATCCAATTAACAGTTACCCAAATAGAAAACTGCTACCTAAAAAAAATATCAATATATTAAAGGAACTATTGGTGAGATTTGACTAAATCATAAAAATCAAATTAAATCCTATACAATTATAGGAATTAAATTGAAATCAAATTCAAAATTTGCAAAAATAGTAAAAATTAAATTTATAATTTAACCTTTTTTTTTCCTAATCTTAATAAATTTGACCCTCTATTTTTTTTTACAACTGGAAGAGGAATCAAACTCGCAACTTCTTAATTAGATATATATATATATATGTCAATTCCCAATTCCCAGACAATTATACTCCCTTGGCATTTGACCCTCTATTATTGAACTTTATACTAACAAGTTGAAAAGGGAAAAGAACAGTTATAGATTATCCAAATATGACAAAAAAAAAAAATCAATGTTAAGCCGTCTTCCATATACGTGACCTCATCACCAACAACGTTTGTTAAAGTGGTCTTTTCATGAATGCCACTTCAACAAATCTAATTATAGATATGGATGTAACAAAGGCAAATTATTATTATTATTATTATTATTATTATTATATATATTAACAAAACAAAGGCAAATTATTATTATTTTAGAAAAAGTTGTCTACTCAGCTATATTAGCAGGTATGAGTTATTATTCAACATTCTTATTTGATTTGTATACCAGTTTATTCCTTTTACTTTTTTTTTTTAATATAAACTTTTAAAAATTATGTTTTAATATCTTGCTTTTTGAATAATCTATTTCATTTTTTTTACACGGTTAACATATCTGTAAATGTAATTTTTGGGTTCATATGTGATTTTGATTATTTTAGTATTTCCTATTAATTTTTATTAATCATATTTAACAAAAATTCTAATTTATTTCAGCACCCTGTATTCTTTTCTAGACAGAGTTGAGTTACTTGCATCAAATATGTACATATTAATATTTTTTAATAGTTTCTAAGAAATATATAAAAACGAATGTGATACTTTTGTTTATTGGTTCAGTAAATATACGTTTTTATGTATGCATAAACTATGGAGAATCATGATTTTTCACTGTAGTTAAAAACCAGGGTAAATTACCTTCTTGACTTTTCATGTTTGTGTCACTTCTTGAATTTTCAAAACCTAAAACTTAGCCCTTGAGTTTGGTTGAGAAGTTCTATTTACTCCATCTCATTACATTTAACCTTAATTTGCAGAAAATTTCGAGTACTATAGAAAAACGAATGATAATCACATTTATTGTTACGCACGTCATGATTATCTAGAAATAATGTGGAGTCCAACAACATTAAAGAGCAGTTTATAAAGATACTAAAAAAAATTTTGAAATGTAATTACAAACCCAACAGTTTTTCTCAAAAAATTATATTGTGCATTCGTCGACTTTAATGATGATAGTCGTTATACTTTTGTATTTGTGATCATCTTTAATTTATAAAATTGATAATCTACTTTAATATTGATTAGAGAAATTTTAATGGGTGCAAGATAGATGTTGATAAACTAATAAACGTCTTTTAGTGAGATTGAGACATCAGGGGAGGAATAAACTACCATCTTAATAATCACGTGCATTGATTTTTTTTTAAGTTCAATAATATGTGTAGAGGTAGATATTAAAATATTCTTCAACTTTTTTATACATATGTCATAATCAGTTGGGTGTACATATTAGTTATCTATTAGTTCAATTTTTAGAATAATGTTTATAATTATTATTTTAATTACAGTATGTATAATGATTAGTAATGCTAAATGAATGAATTAAACTACTTAAAAAGACGAATATATCCAAAGATAAGTGATAGTTATAGAAGTAAAACCAGGGAGGCCGTTGGTATTTTGGAAATGGTGGGCGACATTACATTCCAAATCCACTTTGGTTGACTGAGTTTGTCGACAAGTCGTAAAGTCTAAGAGTTGGTGGAAGAAGCTTAAATATGATTATATCCATTGCTTTGTAAATTTTTTACTCTAATTAATCAACTTGGACCAGCCGCTTTAATTTGTCTATTAAAAAAATTATTATTTCCCTTTTTAGTACAACAATTTAAAAATACTGTAGAATAAAAAACTTTCGACTTAAAAAAACAGTTCATATCAATTATCATTGCTATTAAAAAAAATTAATTAAAAGTATAATTTTACCTTTTTTTTCAATAATATTACATCACACAGTGAGGGAAATTAGAAGATTTGAGTTTTCAGTTATTAGAGGAAACTGTAAAATGTTAATTCTTTGTAATTTACCTCTTTTTGAATTTTTGGACCTAAAAGATTAGAAAATACGTGGTCATTGTGAGTAGAAATATACCATTGAAAAGTAGGAGAGACAAAAACAATTTTTATTAGGATCAAGGAGGCTTTTAATATTATGGTTAATGATAAAGACGTAAATGTAACTGCTAACATAGAGCATATTTGAGTGATTAAACGTACACATATCTTCTTATTAATAATCGTAAATTCAAATCACTACCACTTTTATTTGTGATGTAATATTGATATTGATAAATGCCAATAAAAATTTTAAATGTAATGTTAATTTAATCTCAAGAAATTCACACCATCTTCCCCTTGAAAACGTGCAGTGGTCAGCATCAAATCTTTCTAGATTTTTAGAATCAATAAGATATTTGTGAGTCATTGATTTCACATCTTCTAGTTCTAAGACTCAAGCTGGCTAGGGAAGATTCTAATTTTTTTCTTTAATTTATTAAATTAATTAATAAAGTGATTGAGTTTTTTTGGTCGATTCTAATCAATTGTGTTCTACTCAAGTTTGTTACAGTAATTGAAATTAAAGTTATATATAATAACCTAAAGATAATGCTTTTGTTATAAATTAGAGGATAATTAACCTTTAATATTTTAAAATTAATTTGATGTTTAGCCGCCACAAGTTCGTAAAGTTTAATGTCAAAGGCTTGGACGTGAACTTTTTAAAATTTTTTAAATTTCTCCAAGTTGCCACTTAGCTCCCTTTTTCTTTTTGAAGAGTAGGACTTAGTAGTCGTAATCAATGTGAAAACTTATTTTATTTCTTCATTTTTTAGAATAATAAGTACGAGGAGGATGGGAGATTGAAACTCTTATTTCTAACTTTTAGAAAAGGAGTGAGATATACTGACCCATGAGCTATATTTATATTGGTGATTTTATTTTTTTCCGTTCGATTTTGACAAAATATTAGAATTGAAGTTTGTCCCATGTTGGAAAGATACAAGAAGAGAATGTGCTCACCAAACCAAGTAGTAGAGTTGTCTCACATCGGGTATAGGGAGGAAGTGTGTTTTGGTATACTAGCTCTAGTTAACTAAGCGGTATTTACTTTGAAAGAATGTTTTTTATAATTGGGAGAGAGAAATCTGTGTGATTATAATAATTTTTCACATACTGGATTTTTCCTCGAGGGTGGTGGTTTTTTTTCCGATTTGGAGTTTTTCCACGTTAATTCTTGTGTTTCTTTATTTTATTGCTTTCTTTAAATTTCTCAGTTCTTTTACGCTTATTCCTACGGTACAAGTAAGAGATTTTTTATCATCACTCCCTTCAAGTATATTGTCTTACTTAGTTTGGTAATTTTGATCTTACAAACTAATTGGATAAATAGTGTTATAGGAAGAAAATAGAGATTGGACTAAACAATCGAAAAGAAGGAATGAAGCCAAAGGAGTGGACCCGAAACAAGGTAAGTGGGTCGGGGCCCAACAATCCAGGCCAGATCGGGGTCGAGGAGTTCTCGGCCCAATGGTCCAGAATTTCATATGTTATCCCCAACCCTCGTGCAACCCGATCCGAGTTAACTTGGTGTCGGCCCTGAATGCAACATGAGCCTCACTCCGTCTTGATCTCCTGAGTGCATTAGGATTCAACTTATATAAATCCTAAAAGGGAATATGATTCAACTTATGTAAATACTGAGGGATTATGATTCGACCTCTATAAATAGGAGAGTAAGCTAAACTCTAGAGGTATGCCTAAAAATCCGACTCTATACTCGACTACTCCGATACTAACTTAACCATCGGAGTCCGTGTGGTAAAAGCCACAACAGTCTTAGCGTTATTCTGTTTTGCAGATCTCATCGATCCCTTTATTGGTGCGAATTTGGCGAGATCCCAGGAGGCGAATTCCAACATTAACCAATGGTATGAAAATCTAGAATATATTCAATGAGAATTTTTTCCAATGAAAAATTTTTTTAATTCATATTTCTATCCAAAAAAAACATTTTCATCAATACGATATTTGGATAATATAAGATCAAATATAGTGATCATTTTTTAAAATTGATGTTGTAGGATGGTAGTATCTTCTCCACTTACCAACAGACTTTCATATCTAAGCGGACATAGCTCTAATTGGCATATACCTCCAACCAAGAAGTTATGAGGTCGATTTCTCATCCTCACATGTTGTACTAAAAAAAATGGAGTCTTAATTTTGATAGTTGCTGGTACGATTGCATTAGGCATGCATACCGCTCACTTTTGAGTGGTCAACTAGTCCTAGGCTTAGTTAAATTAGTACCGTCTTAAATTAAGTTGTCGTGTACATTATGAGTATAGTTGCAATAATGTTGCTACCATGTAAAATAGGCCAATGTTGTAGCTGGATGTGATAGGTCGCCTAACACGTTACTGGTCTTATGTTGTTTAATGTGCTAAGACTTTTAATTTTACACCATCGTATTTGTTTAATTAAAGTGTTTGTACGAGGTATAACTCACTTGAGATAGGTGGTTTTTGCCTTCACCTAATCGAACTATGACCTATTTGGTCATGACTTCTAGCCTCACATGGTCAGGCCACGACCCATTTAGGTAGAATAACTTTCGTTGAGCTATATTAAGTAGGTGACCTCTAATGTCAAATTGTTGATCTATGAATGGTTAAGAATCCCACATTGAAAAGAAAATGAACTTGTTTATATTAGACATGTACTACTTCTCTCATCGTCAATTAGTTTTGAGATGGAACCATGAATATTAATATGAACATAGTAAAAGATGAACAAATAATTTAATAAAAATTGATAATTTTTTTTTTATGATAAATTACATATTGGATAAATTTGTATAAAATAATTATTGAAAAAATTGGATGAACAAATATATTTACCTTTTTTATTTACACCGAAAATTATACTTCCAAATTTCATAAGAAAACAAAACTTTTAATATAACTTTAATAGTTTCAATCAAATAATTAATATATGAAATATCTATTATTATTATTATTATTATAAATTCCAAATCTACCCGCCAAACACATTTCAGGTTTAACAAAATAACATCCAAACTCTCCAAACTCACATTTAACAAATTAGACCTATTTTGCATAATCTAAACACACATACTTAATAAATAACTTAGAAAGTTGGGAACTCTCCATCATATGAAATTCTCTCGTTTTCTTTTATGCCCCCACTCTATTGATGGATTGATAATTAGGAGATTACAAATGGTCGCTCATGAAATAACGACATGTAATGAACATGTAATGATTTTATTGATAATGTAATCGTCTATAGTACTAGATATGTTGGAGTTTATAATTTATTCTTTCCAGTTCCTCTATCAACTTCATCAGTCCAATCACCGTTACTATTAACTTGCATTGCATTTGGTTCGTCTTCAACCACACAATATTATGAGATTTGTCCAAGTTTGATATCTTCAACAGTGACGGTCTTTGACTGTCATCTTTTGTATAAATTTCTAGAACCAACCGTCCGAGACGCACATTTTTCTATCATCGTTTTCAGTTTTCACAAGCAAAATTTTAAACTTGTCATGTATTTATTACGGTTAGTCATTTCCGACTATTTTGATTATGATTAGGGATGTAATCGATTCCGGTCAAAACTGAACCGACCCAGCCCAATTTGGATTTGGATTTCGATTCAATAAATATTGTTCTAACAAATTAACATTGGTCTTTTTAACATTACTTTGTCCTCACTTTCATGCTTGTCCGATAATTCAACTTAGAACTATATATATTTATTTATTATTTATCATCTTTAAAAATGAACTCATCGTTGCCAAAATGAGCATAGCTCAACGGTAATTGACATATACTTCCAATCATGAGATTGTAAGTTCGATTCCCTACCCCCACAAGTTGTATTAAAAAAGTAATAATAATAAATAATGAACCCATTGGAAAAAAGAAATGTACAAATCTAGTACTTTTTACCAAGATACTGTACATTTTCTTTCCATTTTGCTATCAAAATCAATCCAACTATGATTCTTTTTTATTTCTATGTTTTGCCATCCAAAGTTCAAAGCCAATGTATATAAACGCTTAGAAATGAGAGCTGAACAAATTGTGGGTAAAATTGTAACTCTATCCTCCTCAATAGTATCTTTACAAAGTATAATGCCTTTACCTATTCACTCCTTTTTTGTATACACACTGCCCTGAATCCACATACTAAAACTCAATTCACTACCAACTTTATTTGGTTTTTCCATAAACATAATGGGACTAACTACCAAAAATCTACCATAAAAAATATTATGGAATTTTCTTTTCCTCAGGGAACAAAACTTCAAAACTCAATCCATGCATTTCTCAGGTGAAGTAGTTACCTCCTCAAAGGTTTCTTTTTTTTTGGGGACTTACCGGTTCCTCCCTTTCGATGAAGTCCCAAATCGTTTAGCACTCGAGAAAGTTTTGGTTTTCCACTGTGCTTGGCCAGCTGCAACCTGTTGACCATCCCAAGACGCCCAAGATTGTGTCGACCCTTGTGCAAGCGTTGACCTGAGATCGTTGGTTACATTATCAGGGTTCCAAAGATAAAAACAATCTGGCCATAAACAGATGCATGGGCGCACGAACTTGTACACTGAGAGAAAGCAAATGTTATGCATTACCACACTGTCCAGGTTCCCTTCAACGTGAAACAACATGACGGCCAATCCCCTTCCTCTATCCATCTCGGCCTGATCATTTCATTCATAATGAAGGAGCTACTTAGATAGATACAGAGTTAAGAACGAGGAGATGTTCAACCAAACATGTCGGAACAATAATTTAATACTCACCACGCAGGAACAAATAGTGATGCCTGCTGCTGCCAACTCTGTTGTAACATCAGCCATTATGCCTGAAATTATAGCTCTACCATATTTATTAATTAAACTAGCTAGATTAACAGAAAGTAGTTTTGTTCTGTTCTAATCTCCAACAAAAAAGCATAAACTCCAAAAAAGCAATATTTTTCAAAGCATTATGGGTGAATCACATACTATCTATACCTTATGATACAGTAGAGAGCGGGACTTACCTCTTCGATCTATGCAAACAACACAAAGCCATTGGATAGAGTGCCCTTCAAGACTGTGCCAAGAGGTAACCTTGCTGATTTGCCAACTATCCAAACCAGGCAAAACGTCCTTGTATAACGGTTGTATAATCTTCGCGACCCCATTTCCCATTGATAAAATATCTCCTTCTGCCTTCAAGCTTACATTTACATAGTGGTTATGTTTGCCATTCACTCTGGGAACAGAAACCTTGCTGTTTTTCGACTGAAACTTGTCTTTACTATTTTTCCGAGTGGATGAAATATCCACCATATCCAAAATTTTCTCCCAGAGAGGTTTGTTTTTAGTGGAGACAACTGGGATGTCTTCTGTCTCACTTTCCTCTTCAGAATCAGCAGTGAAGTCAGTAATTGTATCTGCTGTTATTTCAGCAGCTGACAGCGAAGCTTGTTCCCTTAAAAACTGCAAAGAAATGAGATTATATTGGCAAAAGAAAATAAAAACAAAAGCAATATATCCATATGGTATATTCCTCATGAGTTATGACAAATCATACCTTCATAATCTTGTGTCTAGCACTTCGTGTTTTTGCATGTTGCAACCACTGTTTATGCCGCTGATAAGCTGATTTTCCAGAAAGTGCCTGCAAATAAAGAAAAATGAAACTTCTAGAACCGGCTAAGGAAGAGTAAATTGGTAAGTTAACTAATTTCAAGAACTATGATTTCTTTTTCATCTTCTCTTTATGTTTATTTCTTCCTTTTTGCCCCCTACAAGTTATGTTGGTAAATGCCCAATGATGACAATTGTCCATCAGAAATTCAAAACTGAAATAGTGAAGTTGAAAACGGAAGGATTAGGTTTTGAAAATGCCCATATAGTATCTTATCAAGGGTTGGTGCATATACCACACACATAGTATACTAAGGCAAGCTCGAAAACTAATTACAAATTTGAAATGATCCTAAAGCTCCATGCAAACTCCATGAGTTCCAGAAAATGGAACGAAACACCACTTTCAAGTCAATTTCTCCGTACTCCTGGGCATCTTGCATTAGTACCTTCCTCCCCACCACTTTTTGTTTACTTTTGGTGAATATCCAGAAAACCACCTATTTGTTCAAATATCCAATACCTGACCTTGATGTTACGACATTACAACTTCACCAGTCATGAAACAAATGACGTATCAAATTAAGAAGTAAAACTAAAATATTTAAAAATACTGCCTGACCCATCAAACTCAACTACATCCGGAAAAAAAAGCAGAGGATGAAATGCCCAATTTACAGAACACATCATACCACTTGAAGGAAGCTCAATGCATGAGCATGACAGCACTAAATTAATAAAATCATATTTCTTTTCAGGACATGTATGTGCGTGTCATCTTTCCAAAACACAAATTTGAAAATGCTCAGTACTCTTCTAAACTATCGTATCAGTTTCTGTAGAATAATTAGAAGATTTCATGCAGTGATCGTGGACACAAGAGATGACAAAATTTAGCTTTCAAAGGTAAGCACATGCACATCTGACATCATACTACAATCCCAGAAAGCCAAACAGAGTCTACTTTGACATTGCAACTATGTGCAACTGACTTTTTCATATTTTACTTTTGGTTTCTTATTCGTGCTCTGGGAGAGATTAAATAATATTATATATTCTTCAGCAAGCAATTGCTATACGTAAGGATGTCAAATATCAGCATATTCAAGGCATATGCAGAAACACAAAAATAGCAAAGCAACCGTTTTAAGCACCGATCTTGTATATATCTTTACTTCTATTTATGTTTTTACTTTTCCTTTTCTGTGGATATAAACAAGAGAATTTATTAAAAATAATACCATACAATCCACATTAGGGGCAAGAGATTCCCAAAAGCTAAAAGATATGGCAAGAACCTGCAATTCTTATTAATAATATAAAGATAATTCAAATTTGCAACTTACATTATATGTGATTATCTCAACAACTTCTGCATTAGCAAGAACGTGCATTGGAGAAACAAGGTTACCATTCACCTGCAATGCAGATATCACGCATGAAAAAATAAGATCCAGTCTATCAAGAAACACAGGCATAGTCCATCTGTCCTGAGACATATGTATTGTGTCAGTGGAAAGGTAATCTTCCAGTCAATAGTTAAAAAATTACCTTTGCAGCTACCATCTTGTTACCAACTTCAGTGTGTATCATGTATGCATAATCAATTACAGTTGCACCTTTAGGTAGGTTTTTAATCTGCATATGTATTGAACCAGTTATAAAAACTTAATGAGCATGACATAGAAAGGTTTTGAAGTTAGGGATTTGTACCTCTCCCCTTGGTGTAAAAACAAAGACTCGACTGCCTAATAAATCTCTGGTTACAGTGTCCACAAATTCTCTTGAGCTCATGTTACCAACGAACTCCTCTTGCCATTCTCTTATAGCATTGAGCCAGCCAATCTGGAAGAAATCAAGGACTTCATACATGAAATTATCAACTCCAGACTAATCCCTCAAAAGGTGTAGCTTAACACGTTGAAAGCCTACTACCAGGAAAAGGTAAAAAAAAAAATACCCTGAGTGCAATGTTTGCATCACTAAGACAGACAGCTTTCCCTCTTGAACTTCTGGTATTGGGCATAGAATGTCTAACTGGACTAGTTACAAGCCCACCCCCACAATAGTGAGCAGCAATACCTCTCTCAGCTATTAAGTCCATCTCCTCAGTTCTGATCTGCCAAAATAAGCATTATTTTTATGAACTTCAAGATGCAACCAACAAGTAAGAAATGATACATTAAGAAATCGAATGTTTGTGAAACTAAAAGTTTAAGCAAAGAGAGGTAAGCTGAAAGGAAATGCCCTCAATGCAAGTCAGATGAGAAAAACCAGTCAAGTAAACATGCTAAAACTAGAATATTTTTAAATACCTGAACTTCTAGCCGAAACATACTCTCATAAAGGAAGGGGATTACAGTTGTGTGAAGACTTTGGTAACCATTAGGTTTTGGAGTTGCTATATAATCTTTCATCTGTAACAAAGAGTATGTCAATGTTCACCAAAATACAATCAATTTTATATTGAATTAAGAGAAGTTGCAGTTAACTCACAGCTCTAGGAATAGGCGTCCATATTCCATGTACCAACCCAAGAACATGGTAACAAATCTACATAAAATACAATGATGCAAAAATGATGAATGTTGTAGTCTTACAGTAATTACAGAATAGACAACATCATTAAATTCAACCGCTACAAACAGAAACTACCTGCTGTGGGCTACATAATGGTCCAACACCAATGCATGGCTTTGGTTGTATGATAATGCGGAGCTGGTTTTAAAAAGGCTTGTCACTAACAACAAGAAATGTGACATCTTCATCAAATCTTATGTGACATATTGGATATTAAAACAAACCTGTGCAATCTGGTTAACCTCACTGATTGAACCTTGAGACTTGATAACAGCTTTATAGATGCTGCAAAATGATTGCCAATGTATTTATTAAACACCATAAGAATTCTGCATTTCCATTCAGGACATAAGATTGCACTTTGCAGAGAGGTGAAGTAATACATTTCAAGCAGAAACTTAAATGCCTATTGTATCTATGGACACAACTACCCTAGCAGATCTAACGAAGCAGAGCTGTGCACCTACTCTTCTGAGCAAAAGAAACCATCTCTTATCCATATGCATAACCCAACCTTTGCTCTGAGTGCAGTATTGAGTGAAAAAAGTGGAAACTGGAAAGAAGGCATTCAAAGCTGTACCTGTAAGGCTCCTTACATACAGATCGGACTTCAGTTCTCAGAGTCATAAGGTCTAGGAACTGATCTTCCTGAATCTTCTGAGTCAAAATTTTCTTTGCCTACAAGAATGATGTTAAATGTAAACCTCATAGATAGGTATAACGAATATTACATTTTAGAACAAATTTAAATATCTACTCAATGAAGAATAATTGTTACTTCCACAGTTGTGGGAGAGCCAGAAACAAAAAATTACTTATTTCCTACATCTAGAAAATACAAAGAAAATAAAACTAAATAGTATACCCACATGAACCAGATTCCATGCAATCCCTATATGCTGACAGAACTTCCATTACCATATATGGCTACATTTACTTGTAAGGAATTGGACAAGAGAACAAAAATCAATGTTTCTCCTTTCAATTATTGGTATTCACCACCAGTCAAAAATGACTTTTGGCAAACATCAAATCTAAGTACCCCAAAGGTAAGGTATCCCATTTTGATTCATAAATTTGTGGAACCCGATATGTTTTATTCGTCTTATATCTTCTTTGTACCTCTACTTCTGTAATGGTTCTCGCATTTGATTTAAATTGATTCTCATTCTAACTATTGGTAAACAAATTGGAATATGCCTGGTTTTAATTCCCATTTCAAAACAGTTTTATTAAACTTAATATTAGAAATTTTATTTCGATTCCACAATTTTTCATCATGATAAATTTTCATTCTCATTTTGCCTCATTTACATTCCCATTAAAAACAGCATTCATAATAAAAACAAGAAGGTTGAAATATTGGTTATTTGAAAAGTAATGTTAAGTTACTTACGTAGTATAGAACATTCATTAGTTTGTAACTAAATCTAAAAAGAGGTTCCCATAAACCATGATAAGATACCCTTTTAAAGTCACGAGAGAATTTAATGAAAAAGATAGCAGCAGTACCTCTATCACTTCTTTCTCGTGTTCTTTATAAAGATCTGCAACTCTTCTTTTGACCTTGGAATAATCTTCAGGATTGGTATACATGAAAGAAAGGTTTTCTAGTTCCGACTGCAATCATCATCAATAAAAAATGGTGTAATGATATAAGAATACTTTGAAAAGAAAGAGTCATGAATTATATGATAAGAGAAGTATGGGTATGTTCTGTATTACAAATCAGGTAAAAGAGATGAATGCCAAATTATGCATTCTTTTCCGTCTGTTTAGGAACCAACATTAACAACTTCTAGTTCAGTAGAATATCTAGCAAAGCACAAACAGAAAAATGAAAGAGAGAAATAATGGTCATACCTTTATCTGGTACATACCCAGCAACTTAGCAAGAGGAGCAAAGACCTGCAATGTTTCCCTTGCAATGCTGGACTGGACATGAAGCAAAAGTGTTAAATCTAGTACCAAATACAAGGTCAACGGCCATATACGCTTAAAAGATAATATGCAACCTGCTTATGTGGGGGCATGTGTGAAAGAGTGCGCATATTATGTAAGCGGTCTGCTAATTTGACAATGATCACACGGACCTGCAACAAAAGCTCCCCTTAGTTTCCCTAAAGCTTCATGAAAAAATGATGACATTGACAATAGTAATTACAAAAATATCACCTCTTCTGTCATGGCTAAAAACATCTGTCGCAGATCATCAGCTTTTACATCTTGTACTGAATTGCCTTCATTCTTGCACTTCAACTTGCCAAGTTTAGACACCTAATTGGAAAAGAAGGTGAAAATCAACTGGGAAGGTCATTGAGCATAACATGCTAAGAGGGAGAAACATAAATAGTAAGACAAAAAAAACTAAGCAACCTTAGTCTCCCCTTCAACAATGTGACGAACTGTAGCACCGAATTCCTCTTCTATTTTTTCAAAGGTAACAACATCTGTGTCTTCAACTGTGTCATGCAGCAATCCAGCAGCTATAGTCTCCCAATCTAATTCCTAATATTAAAAATAAAAAACTATATTTGATCCTGGACTGCAAGTCTGCAAATATTTTTTTTCTACCAGAAAAGAAAAGAAAGATATGAAAAACTTACGAGTTCCCCAAGAATTCGGGCAACCTCAACTGGATGAATAATGAATGGCTCTCCACTACGTCTTTTTTGACCATCATGAGCCTCAAAAGCAAGCTATACCCAACCATAGGAGGGGAGAACGTGGGGCTCATGCACCTTAGAACTTGTACATATAAAAAATTATAATAAATTTGGCTAGTACGATAGCTCACCTTTAGAGCATTATGCACCAGTTCCAGTTCCTTGGGTGAGAGATAAGAGACAGTGGGCTTAAGGTCCTGAGGTTGGGGAGCAAAAAGTTAGCTAAACATAAAGCTAAAGGGATATTCCATCTTGATGAGTAAATTATAGAGTCACCACACTCGGCTATTGATAATATGTACCTCCCACAAACCTTCGGGAGAAATCTCATCAAAGGCATCTGAAGACAAGAATGAAGAGCAACAGAATTTCTTCCTTCTACAAATATCATTAAGTAGGCTCGATTTAAGTAACCTTACATGATGTACATGGTTGGTAACTTCATTGGAATACCATCCCCTTACATTGATGGAATCAAATCTCTGAAACGTACAAAACAGTTTACAACCATTGTTATAGAAAAGGGAATTGCTCTGAAAGATCTCTATCAAGGCATACAATACAGGATCAGATGCTGTAATAATTTGGCATTAGTATTGCATTAGTATTTAGTACGTTGTTTTCCAGTAACTTCCGTGCAATAGAGTTGGAAGTAAGTAGTGTCAAACTAAATCATTGTCACTTGAAACTTGAACGAGACTTATTTTACTTCAAAGAAATGCTTGATTGGTACCTGAAGATTTGCAATGATACTTTTCGGCATGACGGTTTTTCTCCCCCTTCCTTGGAAGAGGATTTGGGAGAGAAAAGCTATACCAATGTCTAAATTACCGTACTTCAACAAGATGGCTTAGAGAAACTATGGACACCCTTCAACTAAATATAAATCGTTGCACTATTCACTATTTCAGCAAATGTTCTAAAAATAGCTAATCAAAATGTAAAATGGGGAAGGAAAAAGGTGAACTAAACATGATAACGAGACAAGTGGATGACTTCCACGAATTGTCCAAGAGTGAACGAAATACACAATTCAGTACCTTGTGAGAGAATTCCAACATAAGAGAATCTACTTAAGCACGAGATAAAAAGTAACATAATGGTCAAAATTCGTATAATTCAAGCATTACAGGCCACTTACAGAATTTATTCTGCCTCTTTTGCCATTTTTCGGATAAAAGAAAGATGAACACGGAAGAGAATGGGTCGTGCTTGCAAGAAAACCCGTCAACGCCCTCGGAGCCTTCCATGCACACGAGAGAATACTGCAATCATATCGACCACTTCCATCGCCTTTCGAGAATTTACAAATATTCACGCATTCTAAAGAAACTACAAATTCAGAAAATTACGCGTCACAATCTCAAAATCTCTACAGCCAATAGGC